TTTGGAAATAATTTGTTTTCTGGGATTCTTAAACAATAGAGTAATCAAAAACCTCTTTACCTCTGATTTTCAAATTGCTTTCATTTTAGGAAACAATTTATATCCTTGCAATCCCTCTGTGGTTAATATTGAGGACTGTTTACACATTTGGATAGATGGCAGCATTTACTAAAACACAAAATATTCAAAGTTCTGTAGGAAGGATTTGATTTGGAAATCTAACTTTTGTTTCCAGATGGTAATATTTTTTTCGCTCTTATTATGTAAATAAGAATAGCATATGGGGACACATTAACCATAATAGATTTTCTGAGGCAGAGGACGAGTTGCTGAAATAACTATTAAGAAAGCAGCAAAAAGTGTGAGGAAGCACAGAATGTGGTGTGGTCGCAAACTGAGGCTGACGGGGATTAGAATACCTTCTAGAAAATAACAGCATAGGCACTTCTTTCTACTAATGCTATCCATGGTATAACACAATTCATTCTTCACTCATACATACATAACATGCACACAAGCATGTAAAGGGCTTCTTTTTTGGGTTGCTTAGCAACATGTCTGAATTTAGTGTGATGCTCTAGAAGGCTGAGGGCTAACACCCTTTTCTACAGGCAAGAACAGGGGTGGGGGGATAATATCCTGATGCAGTGGTGCTTGTCAGATTTAAAACCAAAAACAGTAATGAAAGAGGTGGAGACGAAAGCCACCCACCAGTAGATGGAGAAGTTGGTCTCCATGGAGACAACATCAGCGAGAGAAGAGTCATTGTTAACCAAGGAGTCATACTCACTCCCTCAGTATGTCTGGTGCTGCCCTTTTGTAAAAACATGCGACAGGTCTTATCATAATATTTCACAACATTTTCATTCTTTCGATTTTACTTTATGTTTCATTTCATATTTGATTTTATTATCTTATAATGCCTTCATTTTTTTCTCCCTGAATTACCCTTGTTTCATTTACCTTAGGGCTTCAGGCTTTCTCTAAATACAGCCATAATCAGATTATAAAGACAAATTACCAAGGAAAAAAAAGACACAGGCACACAAACACACCTGTGAGATGAATTAGGCAGCACTTACACTTGTAGTGATAAACGAGTTCAGAGTGCTAAACCCATTACAAAAAACAACTGAAGTTTAAAGTAGGCACTTGAAAAGGAGACACTACTGTATGGCGTCATTGTGACCACCATTGATTTTTGCCTCGTTAAAAATGAACGTGCCTTTTTTGGAAAGCATGATTACCAAAGTATCCGGGCAAAGTTTCAGAGATCCCTTTGTCTTCAGTAATGAGGCACTGAGCTGCTAATTGAAGTATCATGTTGAGCTGAGAGTGGAAGGTCTCCCTAACAGATGGCAAGACTACACAGTTAGAAAAATAAACCATTCACCCAGCAAGGAGACATCAATACGATCTGGAGCCTGCTGCCAGGATAACTCACAACATGAGACAACAGCTCACGCTTCATGTCAGATCTCAGTTTTGAGCTGCTGTTGACTGCTTTTCTTCAACTATGGAGGGGTAGGAAGAGATATCAGAGGGAAGGCTTTGCTGCAGGAGCCCTGCAAGCAAAAGGCTGCCACAGAAAACTTTCAATCAGCCTTCAGTTGTGTCAGATCTGGGCACAGCGGATCACTGCTGACTGCTTTGCTTCATGTTAATGTCAGGCTGACAAACTGTTGCCCTACTTAGGTTCTGACATGAGAGACAGACACAACCAAAACATTTCACTGGCCTCAGGGCTTCCACTATCTTTGCTTCTTGTTTGGAGGTAGACGTTCTGTGGAGAATTCATGATTTAGATGCATTACAAATGAAATCAACTTCATCCTCTTCTGCTCAGCAATATTAGAAAATCTGCAGCAGAAAAACAAAAATCAAGTTTGCATCTTTGTGTGTCCTTCATTTATATGTATTTCATTTTCAAGTATCTAAAGATTCTCTTAATATTTTAAACTGAAGTTGATCAACAGTTCATCAGGTTTATGAAGGTCATTGAAATTTGCCTGCCATTGTTTTTAAAGAGGAGCCTCTCATGTATGTTTGCAGGAGTTGGGAGAAAAGTTTGTCATTCAGTTGACAATCTTCTCTATCATGCACTCAGTTATTCTTGTGAACTTTTTAAACTGTGTTACAAAAATAATATATTTTTTTGTGCAGTGAATTCCAAAAATGTTTTTCACACTATTTTTATGTTTGGTTCTTTGGGAACAAGGTAGAAGTTCTCAAGGGGAAGCTGCAGAGATTTTTTTTCTACGATCATTCAAGAGAATTTAGGTTTGTAGGTTTAAAGATTTTTCCAAGGGGCCCTCTTAGATGGGGTTTGCATGCTGTGTTAATTCAACATAGGGTAATCACAGGGTTCTTATACTCTTCAAACACCCCAAAAAAAAACGATTCCAACTTTAATCTTATTTTACACTTACATCTTTGTGCACAGTTGTATGTTCTTTGTATTTATGTGATGCCATGCAACAGACTGCCAATCTGTCCAGGCTGTAACCCAGCTAACTGGCGTGAAAAAATAACCACATGACCTCGCTGTGACTTTAGATAGATAAAGAGGGTGGAAAAATGTTTGTGTGGTTAAAAGTTAATCAGAGTCAGTTTGTAAATAATATGCATGATTCTAAGTTGATTAGAATAAAATAGAAAATCCATTTATTGCTGCCTGATATTTTTGCCAGTATACAATTGCATTTGGGCCTTTCTGGGCCCCTGTTAGAGAGAACTCACCCATTTATAGAGAGAACATGTACACTTCCTCTGCATAGTATTCCAATCCAGGACCTTCTTGCTGTAAGGCAGCAATGCATACGGCTGTGCAGTCATTTGTTCCTGTCACAAAGATGTCAACTGTTGGGCGGATTGGTCATAGATCAGACTTTTCTGTCCAGCATGTTTGATGTGGAATATGCATTTAAACTAGCACCTACTTATCATTTTCTAAAAAAGTTAAGAAAGTAACACAAACATGTACAGCATGACCATAAGTTTCCAAGTAGGCCAGCCTCTGCTGGCTTTCCTTCCTCCAACAGTTCATCCTGATGTGGTGTATTTCCCAGGTTCGCAACTCTATGTAATATAAAAGAAAACATTTAAAACACCTGACCTTTTTCTGTAACTCTCTGTTTCAGTCTGAAAATCAAATCCCCTTTGTTGGTTCTTTCTATGTCCACACTTTCTTACTTTATAACAACAAACTTCATAATCTTCAGCTGGGATTTTATAAGAGACAACAGAAAAGTGGATTTGAAAGGCTTTTATTTCAGCCATCAACTCAATACTTAGTAGAACCACCTTTTGCTACAGTTGTCCGTCTCACTTACCGCTTGCAAGGTTTCATTCAGGCTTGATTTTCCTTCGCATTTGCCTATAGATAAAAATATATTAAACATTTTTCTGATCTGAATGGAGCACCTGTTTTATTGTTTAGAGTGGCATTTATATGGCTTGTCGCAAACTATACAAACTGGACTGCTCATAGCGTTCTTTCAGCAATGGGTTCCTGATGCCACTCTATCAATAAAGGCCAGATTTGTTAAGCAGATGCCTTATAGCTGTTCTCTCAATAGATTCTCTCTGCTCTGCAAAAAACTAAACAAGAGTAAAAAATTTCCCCTTAAATCGAGTAAGTATATAAGATAATCTGACAGTGGAATGGGTATTTTTATCCTTAACATAAGATTATTTTATATTACACTTTTAATAAGTGGCACTGTTTTTTTTCTTATTTTACATGTAAATTGTCTTGTTCCGTTGGCAAAGTGTCTAACTTATGGGCATGGACACAAGTACTTTTTTAATAAAACTTTTATATAAGTTAAACACATTTTCTAGTAGTTCTTAAGTGTTTGTTTTCTCCACTTTCTTTTGCATCTCTACTATTCCTCTCCTGACAAATGTATGGATGCAAGACATGAACAGTTGGAGAATTTGGCATCTAACAACCCATATAGATTTAAAACACCTAATTTATATACGATAACATTAATAGACTGTATTTTTTTCCTTTTTTGATGATAATATATAACAATAATAAATATTTATCAGCACTTTTAATAAAAGCAAATAACATTTTCAAGTTTATGGAGAGCTTTATAATTCGTCTGAGATCTTGAAGTAAATGTGCTGCTCTATGGAGCCAGTGAAGGTGTTTAAGGAGGGGTGTTTTAAAGAACTCTCTTATTTTTTTAGACATCCTGGCTGAGATTCTAATAACCAAACACACTGAAACGACGTCAATTCAAAGATTTGTGTAAATCAATACACAATATTACCTTGATATTAAAAGCATCCTAGATAACATGCCTAAAGTGGGGAACAAATGCCCAATTTAATGTAGCAGATTTCCTCACCATCTGTTTGCAGACCCACGTTCTTCTCCAAGACCCTAAAGACACAGAGGCGTAGAACTTCAGCAGCGCTGTGACCGTCCAATCACAGACCCGATTCAGTGGTGCATAAAGTGAGCTTCTCAGGAGTGATGGCATCAGCCAATCATACAAGAAAAGATGAAGGTCCAATCAGGAGCTTGTGGATGGTCTAAACTCAGGGAAGCGGGCTTGAGATTGAGCTGGGGTTTCCACTTCTTCCTTGCACTCCACGACTGTTGGTGTACTGCAGTGTAACGTTGTTTGTTGGACAGTAAAAAGTACAGAGGACCAAAAGTGCAGGGGACGTGACCCCGGTGCCCCCCCCTGCAAAATTACGTCCCTGCTTACCACCTCAATTCAAGGAAAATGCTCTTATTTTGAGAAATACCGACTTCTTTAGATGACAGTTTTTTGCAGTGTAAAGCGACTCCAGAGGTCTTGGCTGCTTCTTTGGTTAACGCTGTCCTTGTCCAGCCAGTCATTTACTTATTTTTAGGCGAGCTAGTAATTATAGAGCCACTGCAATAGCTTATAAACTAAATTATGCCACAAATTCCTTCTTAGTTGATTTCCTTGGTTTAGAGTCTCGGTATCTCTTAAAAAAGACAAACTCAAACAACATTTCAAGGTTCATCATATATAAAACAATAATTTATTATGTCTGTAATTGTACAAGACTCAAATTGTGAGGCTAACTAGGGATTTGTTAAGCTGGTTCTATGCCCGATAACATGTAATCCTACAAAAGCATAAGCATCTATATGTGTGGGTAAAATAAAACATCCTCAATAGCGTAAGAAACATCTTACCCTAAATGTCACATACGTACACACATTATTATCAACGTTCTTTGCATATCAGTACAGACGGTACATCGCTGGTGGTCTTCAACTTTAGGAAATCAGCACCTTTTGGGAAAAACCAAAACCAAAAAATTTGCTTTCTTACAAAATTAGATTTTTTTATATTCATCAAAATCCTTTCAAAAAGGCTCCTGTTTTAATTTTTAGGGAAAATAGCATTGTCTCCATAAAGTGTAACAATAAAATACTGTTAAGAGAGATATACATGTAATAATATAGTACAAACAAAAAGTAAATAGTGTAAATGCTGGTTGGTAAAGTATGGCACACGTTTCTTTACACACTTTCAAAACCTTTCAAAAAGTCAAATATTGCAGCTTTGTTTCCAAAAAATATGCAAAAGAGCAAAAATGTAGAAAAGATTACTGAAAAAAATGGTTTTAACATTGTTTTTTTTTTTTGCAGAAGTGAAGTCAAACTCTCCTATCATGGACCCGCCCCCCTCCCCCCTGCGCCAGAGGATGAAAATCTTTCCTGATTTCCTATTTACACATTGATGCCACACATTTGCGGCGGCCCTCTCTGCCCCAGTTGCTACCATCCTATGTACACAGCGCCCCGCTGCAGCTTCGGAGCAGGACTCACACCGTAGTCACAGACAGGAGCGAGTTATAAACCCTGGTCCCATCTGGTGACTTGGTTCCATGGGTCAGCAGTTCTTGGATGGTCATCCAGTTGTCAAAAATTTTCTTGTTTCTCTTTTTCATCATCTTTTTGTGGCTGAGTTCAATGATGTTGGGCTCCTTCTTGTCCTCTGTGGCGCTCTGCTCCTTCAGGCAGTCCACTCTGCTCTGTTTCATGAACTCCCGGCGCTGCTTCTGCTCCTTGGCCCGCACAGCGTGCTGCTTCCGCTCCTCCTTACTCCAGTAGCGGCCCATCTTCAGCTCGCTGATGGCGTCGTCATCCGTGGTCATGCCACTGCGCTCCTCGTGGATACGGAGGGCGCGCTCCCTCAGCAGCCTGTCCCGCACCGGCCGCTTTGTGATGTACCTTGTTCCGTCACTGCGGATCTTCACTTTCCACTCCATCTTGGGCTCCAGGTCACCGGGACTGACCACGTCTCGGCACATGCTGACCAGACTCATCTGGCTTTGGGCGTATTCCACAGCGGATTTCTGCTGGATTAGCTGCATGTAGCTTTGGTAGTGCTGGGCATGGGCAGGGATGTGAGCGTGCTTGTAAGGGGAATGAGGCTGAAAGCTCCGTCCACCCTTACTGGACTCTCCCAGCTTCTTTTCCTTGCTCTCGGTCTGCAGCTCTCTGTCCGGGTCCTTAGACGAGCCTCTGCTCCGACTGGGGCCACAGACCTCCTGAACAGGGGAAAGGAGGGGCTTGTGTGTCTTGCCAACAGAGCTGCTGGACCCAGATGGTCCGGCTGCTCCCTGACTCTCAGCCCCTCTACGGAGAGAATTATCAGGAGACAGTTCCAGAGTGAGAGGAGTGCTGCGGCAGCTTTCGCCTGTGTTATAGGCGCTGGAACTGTCCTTATCCGATTTCTCAGGCAGCTCTGTGATGTCTGACAGCTCGTGACGGCGAGCATCAATGCTAGTGTTGTAGTTGCGGAAGCCGCTGTTGTGGAGCATCCAGGACTCTCTGCACTGCTCCCTCAGCTGCTGCATCTTGTGGGCACGGACGATGCTAAGGCATTCTAGCTCGATGTTGCGCAGCTCCTCATTGAGTAACTCCAGTTCTTTATCCACGCCCTCCTCTGTGTGACCTTCGGCCCCCCCAGAGGCCAGACTGAACAGGCCCTGGGCTCCGCTGCTCCTCATCTGACACTTCAGCTCCAGTAGCTCTCGGAAGCGCTCACACTCGTCGGCCGGGATGCCGAGAAAGTCTGCATCTGCGTAGTCGGCTGAGATGAAGGACTCGCTGCTGAAGGGCATGTCGATGCTGCCCAGTGTGTCCTGGCTGTAGGTAAGCTTCCTGCAGCTACCCAGGGTGTTGGATGCTGTGGTCGTCTGGTCGTCACCAAGGTTTTCTTGCTCTGAGCTCTCGTCGTTTCGGGTGCTCTCATCTGTGCGGCCGACGCCGCTGTCCTTTTCATGGTGATTGGACAGCAAAGTGGCGGTGTCTGTGGTGCCCCCATCTTCCTCGTGCTTCTTCTGTAAGGAGAAGATTCAGAATAGATTTCCAAATTGGTTTAGTCCTTCAGAAAAGCTCCTAAACTTAGATAAACAAATTTAGATGCGTCCATATTTTCGATTAATTGCACATTATAAATGACTAAATTACTTGCAATATGCAAGACTACATTTTGATTGTTTTTTTTAAAGCAAAGATCAGTATTTTTGATGAATCACATGTTAATAAAATAAAGACCAAGCTTACAGATGGTCTTGCATTTGACTTCACAAGACTTTGGTTTATAGACGAGTTGATGGTGACTCAAAGCCTGCAGTGTGCCCATGTCCCTGTGGCTGCTGATCAAGCCCAAATCATCACCCCACAATGTGGTTAAGAATTCGGCTGAAGTATTTGGTCTAAGATGCTTGGGTTGATAGTCAGCATTGAGGTCAAAACCCCTTCGACCTTCCACAAATGCGCTTTGGAGATGGTGTTATGTGTCCTAATGCGCACTTGTTTTTTTTTGTTTTTTTTTAATAATGTCGATTCATTATGTCTGGTCAGATTAGTTTAAAGGTTATTGTTCTAGATATCTTCTTGCAACACTTAGATTTGCAAACTCATATTTTTAAAAAGAAGTACCTTTATCCATATCTTTTTCATCAAAACATACTTACTTTACCTATTATACTGTCAGGCATTTGACATTGGACAATGTGCTGCGACCAGTAAATGGTTGACCTTACAATGAACCTTTTCCACTCCAGGGAAGGTTCGAAGGTGAAACTCTCGATTTTAAACATTTCTTACTTTAGAGTGATGGACTACAAACTACTCAGAGATGGCCTTTGACTCATAACAGATTGATGGTCAGCAGCCAGTGCCTCTCTAAGGTCAGTGCTGGTTTCTTTCTTCCATGTTGTTGTGTTAACCGACTTTGCTAGGCTCCAGAAGAACAATCTGGCAAACGTTCCACTGTTGTGTTACAAATTAGAAACAATAACATGGAGACCTATAAAGGTTCTATAAAGGGTGAATCAAATAATTCTATTGTTCTTGTGTTGTTGTCTATATCTGATTCTATTAACTTACTTTTTAGGCCTGATACATTTCTGAGAATAACTTTTTCCTCACAAGATTTGTTTACATTTTAGCTATTACCAACAAACAAAATGTAAATATCCTTTAAAACGAAATCAACATGAAACTAAATGCAGCTTAAAAGCATTATTCCTGAGTTGTAATATCTCTTTGTCTGCTTGACTAGAAAAAAAACAAACAGAAAACACTGATGAGATGGACATCAGTTATTCAGACTGATCATGTGTCTTCCTGCACAGCGTGCTGTGAACATGTGTGTGTTTGGGTGTGCATTTCTGAATACCTGCTCCAGCATGCTGGCAGTGAACTGCATGGCCTGATGGTGCTGCTGCTCCAGCATGTCCATGTGGAGGTCATCCAGGAAGTCATTCCTGTCATCATCCATCCAGCCCTCGTCCAGCTGGGATGCCAAATCAGCAGAGGAGAGGGGGTCATTAGATAGCAATATGAAATTGGGAAAAGGTTTAGAAAAAAAAAACAAACAAAAAAGAAAGACGTTATGCATCTTCATTGGCATCAGATTTCTTTACAAAGTCTTAAAAAAATTGGACTGCAACCAGAGATGCCCCCACTGGGTTTTATTTTTTTTTTTTTTTGTGGATCTGTTGTGGTGATGAGATGTTTTCAAATGCTAGATGCACTCAGTTTTGGTTGCTTTATATTTAACAGGAGGAAGACTCAGACTTTCTCATTTCAGCCCTTTTAAAGGCAGAAATTAAAGTAGATTCGCCACCACAGAGAAAGCAAGAGATTTTGCATCTAGAGCACAGATCCATGAATGTGAATAAGCACTTTTCCACACAACAGTAACAGTAAATTCCTGCGACAATGAGCTCTGCACACAAAAGATTTAAAAGTAAAAAAACAAAAACAATAAAACCCTCAGGTGAAACATCTGCTTGCGTGTTTTTAATGCGAAGAAAAATCTAAATAAATATTGGTAAAAAAGAAATCTGCAACATTTATTTTGGTGAAGTCGGTAAACTTATGCTGTAAAGCTGTAATTTTGAGACTCAATCCGTAAACATTAAAATCTTGTCTTGTAACCTTTCTTTGAGGGGTATTTGAAGAGAAATGTAGATATGTAGTGATTGTAAGAAAGTGCTACTGTCATTAAAGACAAAATGATTACTGACTTTTAATTTAAGCATGTTATGTCAGCGAGTATAAATGGTTGTGTGTCATGTTTGTCTCTGTGTTGCCCTGCGATGGACTGGCGACCTGTCCACGGTGTACCCCTCCCCTCGCCCATAGACAGCTGGAGATAGGCACCAACATTCCTCGCAACCCCAGCAGGAATGAGGCGTGATGAAAAATGGATGGATGGATGTCAGCAGTAGTGTGATTAGCATGTCTAGCATTACATCAGTCTGTGATGAAGACTGATACTAACTCCAGAATGTCAGCAGTTTTCTACGTTTCTGCTCTCCTTCCTGCATGTAATGGCTTCTCTTACTTTCCTCATAAATGTCTTCTTCCACCTCTGTGCTTCTCCCTGATTCAATCCAAGCATCTCATTGGCACTAAATCAGGCAACTTGGAGACTCCAAACTGAGGATTGGTCATAATCTGACCATTTACTGGTGAAAAGCAGGCATATTACATGCTTATTACCTGGATCTCTGGTCTGGCCACCAACAGAGAGATGTTCTGGTTTCCCTCACTGGTCAGCAGCGTCACTGCATCCTCTCGATTTTGGATCTCCACACCATTGATCTTAATGGAAATGAAAAAATAGGCTATTTTTCTTTTTCATAAATATAATAATTTTAATATTTCAATCTAAAAAAGAAAAGCTAACGCTTCAAGCATTACTGTGTGTCCTTCTTACCTGTATGATCTTGTCCCCTTCTCTAATCCTGCCATCCTTAGCAGCAATGCTGTTTGGATCGATCTGAAAGCACAGATTTGTTCAACTGTGATATAAAGCAAAAATCCCTCCTGTTGACAAACCCAGCTTTTTGTGTTAAAAGCAGATGTGAGCAGAGCCATTACCTCACTAATGTAGATCCCAGCTTCATCCTCATCATCAGTCCTGTAACAGATGGTCAGGCCGAGTTTGTCTTGGATGTTTGCTCGATACAGATCCACCTCCTGGTTAGACACAAATTAAACCTGAAATTACTTCTTTTTCCCCCAACGACGGGACAGGAAAATGGATGGAAGATTCTGCAATTGTGATTCTGGACAAAGTAAATGTATTGACCACAAAAGGGGGGTGAAGAGCAACACAGATCTATCAATCACTGTAATGAATCTTTCAGCTGGATGCAGGGAAGCCATCGGGTTTTCCTAGAGGCCCACTGACAGCATGAGAAATGATCCAGCGAACTGCAGACGGGCAAAGCTGCGTTTTTCACTTGTCAGTACCTGTAATCTCACTGATCCAGATAAAGTTAGCAGCGACACTGGTCTCTGAGGCCATAGGGGCAAGATATGTGAGGAGGAGCCCCTGAAAAAATAAGCCGAAGCTGAAGGAACAGATGAATCTGAGGTCACACTGTTTCTTGGGCCAGATTCAGGCAATGCTACTGGTTTGATCTGCTGTTGGTCCACACCTTCCACTTCTGAATGACGGATAACTAATGAATGAATATATTGATCCCGAGGGGAAATCAAATGTTGTTTCAGCTGGATATTGAACAATACAGGATTTTAAGGCCGGGTATTTGAGTTCAGACCAACCAATCCCAGATATGTGCTGCTAATTTCTTGGGGCCAATTCTTTGAAGCGACATTTCTTTTTCCTTCATGTACATGACAAAAATGACACAATTATAACAAATGCTGCATACATGTCAATTGAAACAAAAAGGTCACATTTAGTAACAAATCAAACCAAAAATAACACTGGATAGCAAATGGTGTTGGTGGAAATCTATGCACTTGAATTGATCTCAACACACTGCTGCTCAACGCACTGTTGCATCCACATATTAGACAGTGCTGGTACAAAAATCTTGGCTAATATTGGCTGGCTGGTTTATCTGTCTACCTCTACTTTTAACTCTTATTATTTAAGGGTCTTAGAGTTAAGGTGTCTAACTAACACACACAAACAACTTTTTTGTCTTTAGATTTTCTTGAAAAGGGTACTTAGTAAATTATGTATTATTCTACTTTCCACTTCGATGTTTTATGTCACGCTGTGTTAGTCTATCAAATAAAATTCAAATAAGGTAGTGTAAAATTTTGTGGTAGTAACTTAGTGGAAATTTTTTCGATGCTCTACATCACACAGAAGAAAACATAAGGAAAAGAAGAGCACATGTTGGAAAATAGGCTCTGAAACGCGCACCATTCAATGTTTTAGCCAACACTAAGAAACAACTAATTTTGGCTTGTGGCTTACTTGGCTAGAAAAATAAACACTTGCCTCATACCCAAAATAAGGATTGGAATAAAGAAATACTGAAATATCCTCATCAGTAAACCATGTTTCACCATCTAAAGCTTCCTTAAGGGAGAGGTCATTGTGTGTGGCGCTGTGCTATCCGCCATCTCTGAGCTCTGCTTCTTATGAGTCCACAGCGAACAGCAGTGGGGGGGCCGAGCTTCAACTAGAGGGGGTCAATGTTGTGGAAGGCCACTAAAGGTGAACAACAGCAGTTATATCATAGACTCATCTGACAACTGTTAGCATAATCAGATCCATCATTCTTTTTATCTCTCTAATGATCTACTGAGCCTCTTCTTTCCTGCATGAGGTCACGCTACTGTCACTAATAAGTAATGATGTCACCATTGTGTATCTGCAGAAAAAAATAAAAAACCCAGAATCAATAGTCCTGTCCTTGTTAACTAGCAGTGACCACATCAGCCCTGTCCAGCTCATTGCCAATGCCGACTGATATGGAAATGGTTTAATAATTTAGTAAAGGTTTTCAATTTAATGTCTTGATTTTTTCATTATTATGCAAACTAATTTTTTTAAGAAGTTTCCATTTTCAAATCAAAGAAAGGGTGAAACATTCAAAATGAAGCAAATAGTGTGTTTAATTATATGCTGTTTTTTTCCATAGATTTTACTCAATATCTTTTCTTTTACTGTAAATGCAACTTAATTTTTTTGCATAAATATTAATGCATATTATTAAGTTCTCTTTACTTAAGATAGCAAATAGTTGACTAAAGTTACAAAAAGTGGTTATAAAATGTTGCCTTATTTTCATTGAGTTATATAGTTCAGAGTCAACAGTTTTTCCAGTGCATGTGGTTCCTACTAAGAAGGCTTTTCAGGTGAGGGGTTTAATCTGACGTCCAACGTTGGCCTCATGTGTTCTTATCCTGCAAGGAAGGCGGAGAAATCTAAATGGAGAGGATGTTTCACCTCATATTCCAGCCCTTCACGCTCCATCTCTTGTTGTATGCCCTCCAGGAAATCATTGGGGTCAAAGTATGTGTGTTCTGGAGGAGGCCTGTGAACACAGAGAAAGAGAGATTTTGTTAAATAAATCCAAAAAGAGCAAAAATCTGTTTACAGGTATACTTCACAAAAATGCAGGAAAACACACAGAAACAGTAAAATCTGTAGATATTTAGTACTTAATTTTACCCCTGGCTCTGAAAAAGGAGATGACACCAAAGGGAAGAGCAATAACAAAGAAAATTGCTCTCACATCAGAGATACTGAAGCTATACCCAGAGGCTAATTACAAATTAGCATGCTGTGCTGATGATTTGACTTTGAAATCAATTAAAGAAATCGCTATCATTCATTAAAGGCCATTTCTAGCTGCCACAGTGCAGACATTCTCAGGACCTCGGAGCTGTGATTTCTCACACACAAAGAGCAGAAGCAGCATGGGAATATGCAATTATAAATGAGAAAAACCGTTTTTTTTAATGTGCCCTGGAGCAGCTGTCATCTCCAGTGATTGGCAGAAACTCACTCTTTGTGATCACAGAAATATATATATATATTTAAGATGAAATAAGCTACAAAGCTACAGAAACACAAACAAACAAAAAAAAAAAAAAAGAAAATCATCTGATTTCTTTCTCAGGGCAGAAAAAAATCATCCATATCTTAGAACAGCCCTCCTAAGGTTTAGGTAAAGGGGCCGAAGAATAATAGGTGCATCACTTTCAGTGCCCTTTTCTTCTTCTGAAGCACCCATCTCCCTGGAGCAGCATAAAAAATGAGCCCATTAACCATGTGACCACCTAGTGTCCAATCCTCATGTTTCTCAGCAAATTGAAGCCGTTTTGTCCAAATAGCCTCCCTGATCTGCAGTTAGATTTCACCCCACATTTCTTTTTGTCATTACCCCTGATCAGCTTCCCACTACTTAATAAAGAAGTACATCATCAGAGCATCATGCAGCAACCACCATGCTTTATTATAGGGAATGTAACTGGGAATGGGAATGATGGTAAGTTCAGGGTGATCTCCAGTGGTTTCCATGAAGCACAAAAGAGATCATTCTCCCATACCTGTGTAGGTTTTATTCATTACATTTATGTATAAATTAAAGGGGGCTGAATGAATATGAGCGCCACACCTCCCAGATACACATTTTGTAAAAACTTTGAAAAGCATGTTACCTTTATTAATATGAAACGCTTCCGTGGCTTTAAAGTGGAAACTCAAGGAGGATGGTTTTACTATACTTTCTGCATTTAAAAAATACAGTATATACAGTATAAATACCAATCCGTTCAGGTTAGTATGCAAGGTAAGTATGCAAGAAATTCTCTCCAGCAGAATGTTGCAAAAGCTCAGCTATTATGGGACATTACACGGGACAGGATGAGATTAGAATTAAACAAACCATTAAACTGCTCTCTAGTTGTGCCAAGAAACGCCCTAAGAAACAACAATAAAGAAAAACATGAAAGATCTGCTCTGCTGAGATATTTTGGTCACCACTGAGACCTCAGTGAAGTACTGTCATAGGAGCAACAACTTTATCTTCTAATGTAGCAACTCGCAGTTTAACATCACTAAGCAGCTGTCATTGTTAAAGTTATCAACCAGCACGGCATCTGGAAGAATAGAAAAAAAATAGAGTTGGTTGAATAAAGTTCAGGTTTTATTGGTCTCCTTTAAAGGGAATCATGAGACTAAGCCTGGCCAAACATGAAGCAAAAAGAAGGATAGAGGTTATGGCAAAACATTTGGGACAACTCTGTAACATTTTCCAGTATTAGGTATTTCTGCTTTATGTCTTTTGGAGCTTTAGTACTTATATATTCAGAGAATCACTGGCAAATTAGTTGGCAGCCGTTGATGAAGACCCAGATTAACTTGCGATCCCTAGCGTCATCATCACCGGAAAGGTTGTAGAAAAAACATTAAAAAGCGGTAATAAATGTTTGTTCACCTAAGAAGTCCAAGCTTTCCTCATAAGATGGATGACTAGAAGGAAGAGGAAATCCTCAAGTTTTTTTTTACGCCTCTAGGGAACTAGGAGCGAATAAGGAGTGAAAAAAACAGAACCCTCAAAAGCTAAAGACTGGGGAACTACCAAAATAATAACTATCGTTAGATATTAGCAACATGCCAATCACATTTTTAGAAAGCATGAAAGGACACAGCCCCTTTCTGTCCTGATATTACAACATTAATCATGCAAACTTTGCTATATTTTACTGACAATCTCATGCAACACTGTGCTTTGTTTACAAAATGACAAATTATCAGCAATGAACACTGTATGTCAGTTTGACCGGAAATACAAGAGGAATCCAGTCACACCAGTAAAATATTAGATAAGGTAAAATACATTCAGAACCAGGAATGGACTGGTTGGTATAAACCGCACCTCAACTGTTTATTATAGTGGACAAACTGTAGTGCTGTGGTTGTATTATTTCTCTTGAGTTGAAATGTAGCTTAAGGCTTGAAAAACTCGTTAAAAGGAAAATGCTTTTTGTGGTAAACTGAAAGTGGGTTGTCATTTGATCTTCTAGCAGGATGTGACCCAAAACATACAACTTAATCATAATAAAATAGCTAATGAGATAAAATCCAACTATGAAAGAAATTTACCATTCAAATGGCAAAGAGTGGATTTGGCTTTGATTGATCATTAGCAGGTAAAGTAATGATAAATATTTGGTTTTCTTTAATTAAATGTATCAAAACTAAGACCTTAGACAATGTTGGATCTATGAGAATGGACAATAATCCTGAATTTTAAGAAAAATAACACTTAAATGCCTTTGAGATATCTGTACTAAGTGTGCCAGCAGCTTTCTCCTCTCTGTATGTTTACATACTTAACATAAAGACAGGAATTTAAGCTGCAGAAACAGCTAGGGTGAAGGAATTTCCCAGGTTCAACCTCTAAGACTAAAGATGAAGATGATTAAGTGAAAGGGAAGAATAATCTAAGCCAAGGCCATGGCTGTATGTGATCTTTGATCGTTCTTAAGTTCCCACGAAACTGCAGCTACTGTACTCACTCCTCTGGTAACAGATACTCCTCCAGCTCCGTCATTGGGGGCGAGGCGGGAGACAGTTTGGTGAGAGCCATGATGTGCTGGAGAGTGATGTCAGTCTGGGTGCTGGTGTCTGACACCTGGGTGTCTGCAACTGGGGTCACCAGTTGGGGGTATGGGGCCCGTCGTAGAACCTGAACCATGATGGGCTCCTTGGCTGTGCGAAACGCCTCCACTGCTTGCTCATGGGTGGCTTTTGAAAGGTCCTTTCCATTAACCTGAGGAAAAAGACAAATAACTACATCATAGACTGAACAGATGACATTCTCTAGAGCAAAACTAAGGTAAACACTCATTTAATAGGACACTGCCAAATAAATCAACATGCTCAAAAAAATGGAGCGCTGGGCTTTTCTTGGGTAAATGTCTCATTAGTGCCACAATTTTCTCCCCCTTTTTTACAGGGTCATTGTTCGATCAGGCAAAATACGACCTTAATTAGGAAGAGTCTCCCTTTAATTAATCAAGTTCATTAGCTGTGGCTGGATACAGCCTTCTACTTTTAGCTAAGCAATCATCCTCCTGTCAGAGACGGTGGAGGGAGCGCTGGGCATTAACCTGAGAAGATTAATTTGAGCAAAAGGCTGCGGTCTGCCTCAGAGATGAGGCTAATTAAGCCACTTAAAGTCTCCATGCTCTGATGAAAGTACAAATCCTCTAAATACCGTGCTCTCATAGGAATGTATTGATTTCCAAAAAGTATGAAATTGGATGTATGTAGATCAAGGAAAAAAACATCATCAGGATGTGATTTGCTGGATTTCTTAGAGTTGAATAAAATAAAGATAAACAATAATTCAACAACAAACAATGGGATTTCTTTACAATTCTTGTTTTTATTTGATTTTCTTTAAAGAGACCTGCAAATTAATTTCTATATCATGTTATAATGCTTCAGAATTTTGATTGGCAGGTCAGAACTCATAGTGCCACTGACCCCCAATGTAAAAGTATGACCCCAACACCAGACTAAATCTAAAGAAAATGCCACCAAAGCTGAAAGGGACAAGAAAAAAAAACAGCTCTGGAGATGAGTGGAGTGGGGTATGCAGCAATGCTAAGGAAAAAAGGAAAGTTTCAGCAAATTTTTTTATGACTAAATAATCTAAACACCTAAATTAAAACAATATGCCGACTTACAGATAATAAAACGTTCACTTGGAAAAACTCTTTAGATCAGTGCTTGCTATATCAACTACAGATGCCAGAGTGAGATGGTTTCAAAGTTCCTGCCATTGTACTCGGAAGTCGGAACAAAACATGTATTTTCGTCTTTGTTATTACGGTGACCATAGAAAATTGTAATGCTATCCCTTCATAACTTCACTTCCCAGTTTCTGCCGAGGCATTCCGAGGGAGCGGGACTTGAACTCAAAACATCTGGGATCCACTAGGTCACCATTCCCCTCACCACTCAGAGGGCAGCAATAAGGCAGTTTAAGGCCTAATATAGAAGAATTTACGTGAAAATGTCAAGATTTGCACAGGAGCATGGCTGGAACTAACGAATTAAATAATCTGTTGATTTTTTTTTCTATTAATCGATAAACAATCGGATAGCAAAAGGCTCCTGAAAGAACATTTTTTAAATGAAATTAAACCAAGCTAAACTAAAACTTGAGGAGTTCTGGATAGAGCATACCGACAGATGAAAAAGTTTTTTTTCAATCTTAAATGCAAAGTGTTTGTATATTTTTTTTTTTTACGATTTTGATATAATTACTGGTCTATGTGGGTTGCTCCTTCAGCTAAAGGTCTGTTTTACAGTCTCTATACCCCATTTAACGATTTATCAATTATTAAATTAGTTGATGATTATTTCAATAACCAATTAATAATGACTAATCCAATTAATGCTCTACACAAGAGCATAAAGAAAGCACCTTTTAGTTACAATTTATACAGTTCATCTGCAAAATGGTTGATTTGGTGTTTACACTATATATTTAGAAAAATGTATGGGTCAGGATCAATCCTGATCAATACATCTGTAGATCCAACATTAAGATGTCACCAACTTTAAAAAACAAGAAGAAAAAACTCCACTTCTTTCCAAACTGTCCTCAGGGCTTAAAACAAACTACTGCTTCACTTTCAATCAGCACATCATTCATAATGGGTTGGCGTGTGATCCTGATGCGTCTGTAGCTTTCATTGGATCTCAGCCTTGGGCTGCTTTCATTTAACCAGCCTTTCTGCATATCTGCATCCTCATAGGGAGGCTTTGTGGAATCCAGGGGTCAGAATATGATCAGTTTGAGCTGCTTGCTTCAGGGTGTTACTTATCGTAGCCTGAACAGGCGGCAGGGGACAAGATCCTTCACTGAGGAGGGATATGTCTGCATCCAATGCTGGGTATAGTGATGAAAGAATGAACCATTAGCACAGATAGGAACATTCAACTTCTTTAGCCACTGTTAACCACTAAAGAAAGCACTGAGATGACCTTAATGACAAATTCAGCAGAACTAAATAAGCTTGCCAAAAACTATAGAAAAGAAAGGTACAGTGGTGGATTTTTGCAAATTTTTGAAATTCCCTCTCGGCTTCAAAAAAGAAAAAATGCATATGCACAACGCCTAAAATAGAGAACACCTATTAAACGTGTGCTAGAGCATGCACAAGCCCATGTATCCATGCTCTGTTTAAATGTTGCTGTTTGCATCACTCATACGAGCTTACTTTCCAAAATAAGATTTGCAATTTTTCCACTACGTCAGACTCACCGCCGGTGTTATGCCAAGAAAAACCTGCCTGCCGAGAATTACCTCCCCTCTTGCACACTGATGAGAAAAAAGATCGAAATATGAACGAAAATGAAACTTTTAAACATGGTCTAAATTTTTTTATATTTATTTTGCATGGATGCCCTAAAATTAAGAGTTTTGGTGGACAGATGAATAGAGAATACCTCCCTGTTGGAAGAGCGTGCATCACCCTAAACTCACACGCTGATGGGAAAATGGATTGAAATATAAACAAAAAGGGAACTTTTAAGCATATTTTCCATGTTTTGTAAGAAACGATATAGAATGGTGTTGATAGCAAAAGCGGGAAATGCTATCCACTGAGCAGAGAATATATTCATCGAACGCTGACTTTAGCATATCAACTAAAACATGTCTCCATACAAGTAAAAATCGTATTTATTCAAATATATCTGTCAACCAAAACAAGTTTAGGGCATCCATGCCTAAGAAATATGAAAACATCACGATTATGTTTAAAAGTTCCCTTTTCGTTCATATTTCAATCTGTTTTCTCATCAGTGTGCAAAAGGGGAGGTAATTCTTGGCATAGGGTTAGGTGAAAATGGGGACGAGCATGTAGGACAGCCTTAAGTGAACATATCACCAAAATGATTGACAATTAGGAGGACCACTTATTTTAATAAACCCAGAAAAAGAGCATCTTCCACTATACCTTTAAAATGCTTAGTAGCATTAAAATAGTGTCTTATTGATTATGGGTTGAATTACACTTTAAATAAAAGGTGTCTTGTGACTGCCTCCATCCTCCATAAGCTTTCCTACGGTAAAATGTAATGTTGTACATCAGCTGGGGAACACAAGGTGCTTTGTGCTGCCCTCTCACTGCATGGAGGCCCCAAAACAGGAAGGCAGTCAGGCAGAGACAAGGCCTTTTAGCCCCCTGCTTGGTGAGCCTGAGGCATTATGCATCAGTGCTTTTGAAGAGGGGGTATTTTAGTGGTTATATGTATGTCGCTCACCTCTGACAAAGATGTATTTGCTTCATACTGGGAGAAAACACACAACACTCCTCTGCAACACAGCATACAATGCAATGCCATCACCAAGCTCTTCCAGCCGTCATAGGATCAGCCATTGCGACATATGGCTGTGTTTGCACGAAGTCCATGAAGCCAAAAACACCAGACCGTTAGAGGTTTACTGCTCCGAAAACCTGAACTTTAACTGCAGGTTTAGTTTGCATGTTCACAATACTGATGCTACACATTACTAATGACACACAGGTCCTCTGGTATATTGAGATGGAATTCTGTTCAATCTATTTTAACAGCAGGAGGGCAGTCATTGTCAACTTATAAGAATACTAATTAGGTCAACATCAAGTGTCTTCTGTTCCAATGTCGGGAGAGGAATTTACACAGCTGTGGCTTTGTTATTGGCGGCTTATTTTCTTTCATTAAAATGTCACATTTGACCTCTAAGGCAACACTGAAAACAGGTACCAGCTCTGGATTTGGCTTCTTTATTGCAGCAAATTAGGATTTCAGCTCCCCTCAATGCGCACCATATGACAGCTTATAGCGCTATTCAGTCTGTTGGGGAATAATTAGGGGCAGCAGGGGTTAGTTAGGCTTTGAACTCTGATGTCAGCTCATCTCTGCAAAGCAAATCAAGATGGACTGAGAAACCAGTGTGGGTGTTTGTGTTTGCCCAGTGCGGCTCTATTCTGAGCCTGCAAACATACTGCAAAATATAGTTCATTTGCAAGGCAGCTGGCTCTAGATTTTCCATTATTGTCTTTGCATTACTGTGGTTGGAGTGAGGCTGCTACAGCTTTATTAGCTCTTTATTTAATCCTGCACAGTCTGTGAAATAAAATTTGATTTATTCATTGCTTGTAAGATTTTTGAAAGATGGAAGAAAAACTCCTCAGAATATTTTCGTAAAAGCAAAGTGATAAAAAGAAGTTAACTAATTTTATTCTGAGGCGTAATCATTGTTGCAATCCCTGCATAGACTATGGGAGGTAAATTTCCAGTTTTAATGTATTATTATAATTTTCCTTTCTATAGAATTGCTGTTGACCTCTTAGCCAGGCCATCCTTGACTGCCAGACCTCAACAGGCCTGTGTGGAAAATAAATAATCAGATATAATTTTTTTTCAAACACTTGTGTCTGTGAATAAATAAACACAATGATTGCTGATAATTTAAAGTTACTTTTTATTTTACCCTCTTAAAAATTGCATGTGGCTTGGTACATTAATTTTACCCCCAGAGTAACCACTGCTGAATAGCCTTAGAGGTAAAAAAAAAAAAGAAAAGAAAGAAAAACTTCTCATTTTCTTAGAAAAACAAAACATGACTTTGAATATCCAAATATATATATATTAGTGCTGTCAAAATTATCGCGTTATTAACGCGTTAACGCGAGGCCATTTTAACGGCGATAATTTTTTTAACGTGAGATTAACGCTATGTGGTTTTATGGTACAATTTTCCAAGTA